TACAAATATTTTCTATAATTTTATTTTTTATCTATTTAAAATTTATTTCAGAAAATTTTTTAAATACAACTTAATTATTTATTTAATTACTAACAATTACAAATATTTCCTATAATTTTATTTTTTATCTATTTAACATTTATTTCAGAAAATGTTTTAAATACAACTTAATTATTTATTTAATTACTAACAATTACAAATTTTTCTAATAATTTTATTTTTTATTTATTTAAAATTTTTTTAAGAAAATTATTTTTAATACAAATTAATTATTTATTTAATTCCTAACAATTACAAATTTTTCTAATAACTTTATTTTTTATCTATTTAAAATTTATTTCAAAAACTTTTTTTAATACAAATTAATTATTTTTTTAATTCCTAACAATTACAAATATTTCTAATAACTTTATTTTTTATCTATTTAAAATTTATTTCAAAAAAGTTTATAAATACAAACTTAATTATTTATTTAATTCCTAATTATAATTACAAATATTTCTAATAAATTTATTTTTTATTTATTTAAAATTAATTTTAGAAAATTGTTTTGATTTATTTTTTACTAACCTAACGCTTTAACTTAATGAACTAGGAATTACTGAAATTAATAATGTTTTCAATAAATTATGAATTGCTTAAGTAAATTAACAATTATTAGCTACACTAATAACAATAACAATAACAATTTAAATAACAACATAAAATAAAATATAACAATTATATTTTCTAACAAAAAAATTTAACAATAAATTAAAGTAAGTAAATTAACAATTAACAATCAAATTAATTCAATCAACAATTTAAAAAAAATAACACAAAATTAAAAAGTTAAACAATAATATTCAATTAATCAATAATTAACAATAACATTAACATAACAATTAACAATTAAATATTTCAATTAACTCTCACAATTTACACTAAAATAACACACAAAATAAATTTTAATTAAATAATCAAATTAAAAAAACACATGCAATAAACAAATAATTCAATAATTAAACTAGCAATAATAAGTAATTAAAAAAATTAAAATAAAATCTAATTATTTGACATAAATAAATAACTGAAAAAATTAATAATTGAAAGGATGGTTTAGATTTAGGTGGACTTGTCACCAAGAGAAGGAGTGGGAGAAAATGTCGGAAAAAAAGCCTCGTCGGAATATGGTCGTCGGAAAACGGCAACTTCAACGAAAGAGAGAAAACTTGAAAGGAGGAGGAAAAGAGGGAAGAAATATGGAGATTTTAAGGAAACAATAGCTTTGAGGAGAGAGATCAAAGGATTGGAGACGAAAAAGCGAGAGATGTCGCTGTCGGAGGAGAAGAAGAGAGGAGAAGAAAATAAAAAATGGCAGATTCCGATCAACTGCTATTTATAGAAGGGTAAAGTTTTTAGCGACCGTCACGGATCGTCGCTAAATCGTCGCTAAACATAAATTCGAAATTAAATTTGACCGTTTCCCACCAATGGTTTACTTTTAGCGACGATTTAGACCGTCGCTAAATTAACGTTTGCAACGATTATATTTTCAACGGTTAAACTAATTAAATTAAATTACCAACGGGTTAAGACCGTCGCTAACCATTTCTAGGTTGATTTGGCGACGTTTTAGCGACGGTCTTGGGCCGTCGCTAAAACGAATATTTTGGCAACGGTTTAATAACACCAAACCGTTGCTAATTTTCTTTTTGGTAACGGAATAGCAACGGTCTATGACCATTGCTAAATTTATTTTTTATTTAGGGTTTTTTTTTATAAAACCGTTGAAAAAATATTAAATAACATTTACCAACGGTTTTAGCAACGGTTTAGACCGTTGCTAAATTTACCAACGCTTTAGCAACGGTTTAGACTGTTGCTAAAATGGTTAGCTTATAAAATTAGCAACGGATTGGTGGACCGTTGCTAAAAACCGTCGTAAAATTTAATTTTTGTAACCATTTTTTAGACCGTTGCTAAAGTGTGAAAAATTGTTGCTAATCTAGGTATTTAGCGACGATTTGTTGACCGTCGCTAAATATCCATCGCTAAAACTCATTTTTGTTGTAGTGTATCGGCAAGCAATTACATACGTTCCTAACCTTATTTTGTTCATAAGTTACATAGTTTGTCATGTAGTGGAGATTGAAAACCCACTTCTAAGGCTGAAAAAGATAGAAAGAACCAATAAACAAAGATAGAGAAGCAAAAACATATGCTATAACTAAATAAATCCGACAAGAATCCAATAAAATAGACATATAGATGGGATGACAGAGAAAAGAGAAGAAAAACACTCGGGGCACCTTCAATAACAAAGATACACAACTATGTCGTGGCAGTAATGGAGACATGTATGGTGTTATTCAATAGAAGGACTAGCAATAATGACCACATATGCCACAACTAGCCCTTGGCATAATGATCACCGACTCGCCACACACACACCTTAACTATAGCCATTTTTTTTAGGGTAAATTTTAATTTTTTATTTTATGTATTATCTCAGCATTTCACTTAAAATATTTAGTTTGTTTTAATTAGCCTCTATATTTTCATTTCTATTTCAATGTTTTTTCACATCTTTCATTCCTACTCTAATTTTTCCTTTTGTCCATTTTCTTTTAAATTAGTAATGAAAAATGTGAGTAAATTTTAATTTTATTTTTAAATTTATGAAATATCTAAATATTAATTAAAAAGTAAAAAAAATTAAAAAAATAATATAGAAAATCAATTATGAGTAAATCTAAATAAAGGTTATAAAAAAATATTTAATAAGTTAAATTTATGAGTAAATCTTAATTGGAAAATTAAAATTTTCAAAGTAAGAAATATGAAAATAAGAAAAATTCATCTACCCTAAATTATTATAATAAAAGTTTTCAATATTTTGTTCTTTGAATACATTAAAATTTTAATCTAATGAGGAAATACATGATGAAATTCTAGTGCATTAATTTTAGTGGAATATTTCATTGATATTTAATGTAAAATCTTTAAAGTTAAAATATCTCGAATTGAAAATGGCTTCCATCTTAATTTTAATTTCCATGAATTTTTTTTTATAAAAAAAGTAAGAAATTACGAATTAATAGTAAAATTATACTAAACTCACACAACACTGGTATTTATTTGTAACACTCTTAGATATTCAAGAGTACGCTTATGTCGCTATTGATATATAAGACCTCTCAATTAAAGAAGTTAAAAATTCGAATCGCTATCTAATATTTAAAGGAGATTAGAAAACTGAAATGGTTAGTTTTCAAGGGTCGGAGGTAAAGAATTGATTATGTTTTATTAGAAAGATGAAAATAATTTCTCTTAAAAACAATAGTATTTGGCCAAATGGTTGGACGTCTTGTTTGGCCGGTGAAATGAAACTTAGTAGCACCGAATTGGATTTTCATGTCCGATAGATTCAATATCTTGCTAACTTTTTATTTGTCCCGGACATTTGTGGATCTTTGTCTTTGGTTTTGCATACTTTCAACTAGAAAATTTCAATTGTTGTAATTATAGTACTATTTATTTGTATTGTTTTATTGTGCTTCTGAATTTGTATCATATGATTTGTATATTGTTTAATTTTCTATTTTTTATTTAATCATTTTTTTTATTTTTTGATAATTACTTGATATAAATACTAACAATTTTAGATCATGGATTGGATATATATATATCGCTTATAAATTTATATCCTCAACTAATTTTTAAAATACAAAAACAATTGGCGCAAATTTAAGATTGCATTGATTTTTAACGTGAATATACTTCATCTTACATAAAATATATTGTAGATAGTTATTTCGATGCCATCTAAAGATGGGTATGCACCTATCTTACAAACAAACATGTTTTCATCGTACTATTACATGTATTATTTTCTTGTCTTTTGTTGAAGTGTGTATGCTATATTTGTTACAATTTATATATAGCATGTTAAGGCGTTGTCTACAAATTAATATTGTTCTCTTTTGAGTTTTTCAACAAATAACACGTGGAAATTGTATATAGCAGGTTTCTTGTGGCACATAACTCTTCTATAAACAAATTAGAGATAGTTGATGGATGAGGATTGAAAAATTAAAGATCATCTTTGAGATAAGATCATATATATATATATATATATATATATATATATATATAGATTGTGCTTGACTAGACAAAATCAACATAAAGAATTGAAAATTTTGTTATACAAATTTCCGAACATGCATGGATGGATCGGCAAGTATCTTAGCTAGCAAAGGTAATTCTACAGAGTTAAGAAAAACATCATAGATACTTGTTCCAAGTATTTATTGGCTAGAATTTACTTCATATCTTTTTTTCTGTTCTTTCCTTTTTTAAATAAATCGAAAGATTGAAATAAGTGAAGCCAAAGGGAATATACTTCATTTCTGAATGCTAAAGGTCAACATATATTACTGTTCTTTCAACTCTTCCCGGGGATGGAAGCTTGTCAAGTTTTGCTTTGTTTCTTTATTGCCATCGAAAAAATTACGTGCGCGTTGAATATTCTTATATTGACTCCTGTGACTTTTCTCTTCTTGGTCAAATATCAGCAAGCAATTACAGTATGCAATCATAACATTTGGGGTTTGTCACCCCCGAATTCGTCACAGCAAATTCCTATCCAATGACTAGGAAGTTTCGAATTTAAATTTTCATTGATTGGTCAAGGTAAGGGAAAAAAAGAAAAAAGAAAAAAAGAAGAAGTTGAATTTGACCAGCTTCGAAGTACGGAGCGTCGCGATGCCTATAAATAGGGCGCAGCATGCATGCTGATGTTTTATAATCCAATTGATTCATCAGACAGATTCAACCTGCAACAAAAACTTATACTTCATACATTCATTTATTCTTGTATTCATTGTCAGCTAATTAATATACATTCTTTTATTCAGTCCTAATTGATCTCACCCAACATTAGTTAGGTACCTTAGGTCACCGAAGTTGCAGAGTGTGGTACGTGCGTACAACTCATAACAAAAACTTACTCCTATACTATGGGAAGTATTGGCAAGTTGAGTCGTTACTTCTTTCCAGATGGTTTTGTTTTCGGATCTTCTTCAGCGGCCTACCAGGTAATTAAACATGTCTCTAAACCTCATCCCATGCGTACGCTGTTAAAAAAACCTTAATTCTGAGATTAGCTGATGAAGTTACTTGGCATTGCAAATGTCACTCGCATATCCGTGCATGATTGAAGATAGGAATGCTTCATGAATTGTTTTCTAACAACACTTATTTTATGCAGTATGAAGGTGAAACAAGCAGAAGTGGTAAAGGGCCCAACATATGGGACACTTTCATTGAGGAGCATCCAGGTATATCTCTCTCTCTCTATTAGTGAAGGAGTTTGCTACTATATATAAATATGTATCAATTTTATCTCAAAATTCAAAGGAATTAATTTGAGGATGCATGCCTTGTGAAAAATTTCAGAGAGGATAAGTGACCATAGTAATGCAAATGTGGCAGTTGATTTCTATAATCGCTATAAGGTATGAATTAAATTATCATTTTCTTTTTCTTTTTTATAGTTGTTTTTTGTCGATATGACCGCCATACGTACATGGATTTAATTATTTCAATAAAATGTTACAGGAAGATGTGCAAAGAATGAAGGAAGTGGGAATGGATGCTTTCAGATTCTCTATTTCTTGGTCTAGAGTGTTACCACGTAAGTATTATTTTTTTCCTTCTTCTTCTTCCTTTTTTTTTCTTTTTTTTAATTCGTACTCTTCCTTACTTTGATATTTTTTCCCCCTTTCAACTACTGTATTCAGATGGCAGACTAAGTGCAGGAATAAACGAAGAAGGGATCCAATTTTACAACAATCTCATCGATGAGCTCATAAAAAATGGTTATAACCTTTTCCTTTCCTTCGATGACGAGTTTGATTGATAATATATACTGTTATTTTGCCTAACTTTCAATGTCTACATTTTCCAAACTTTCGTATATTTGGTGCTTAGAAAATAAGAATTTGACACTAAAATCTTTTTAAAAACACACATTAATTGAGATAAAATATCTATTTATTTTACCTTAATTATTTGATATTATGTAATGTGCAGGTATACAGCCTTATGTAACTCTCTTTCATTGGGATACTCCACAAGCACTAGAAGATAGATATGGTGGATTTTTAAGCCCTGATATTTTGTAAGTAACCGTCTAATTTATATTAATTAATTAATATTATATAAAAAATATCTCATGATTTTTAAATTTCTATGTATCTTTGCAGAAGATTTTCAGAAGCTCATTACAATAAAATTATTCCCACAGCTCTTGAATCTAACAGTTTCAATTTTCATATATATATATATATATAGAAATGATTTCCGAGACTTTGTGGAACTTTGCTTCCAAAAATTTGGAGACCGAGTGAAGAATTGGATCACGTTAAATGAGCCTTTCATGTTCAGCGTCAATGGTTATGACACGGGCACATTAGCTCCTGGTAGAATTTCAACTATGGAGAACTCATGTCCAGGCCAACCCAAAATCTCAGGTGCCACCGAGGTTTACATAGTGACCCATCATCTATTACTTGCTCATGCAACAGCTGTGAAAGTATACAAGGAAAAATATCAGGTTTGCAAAAGCTCAAAACTGTAATTTTTTCAATGTAACTATTGGGATGGTTTGCCATCGTTTTTCACCCAAGTCGTAAACGCAGTTGTGCTAATTAATTTTTACTTTGACAAAATCATTAGGCCTGTCAACGAGGACAAATTGGAATAACACTCGTTTCTCATTGGTTTGAACCTTACTCAAACAGTGAAGGTGATCAGAATGCAATGAAACGAAGCCTTGATTTTATGCTTGGATGGTAAGTATTTTGTATGAAGTAAGACAGTAATGGAAAGTCAACTTGGGTTAAACCATGCATGATCATTCTAATTGATTAAATATCCTTGCATGTTTTTGGCAGGTACATGAGTCCTTTAACTACAGGTGACTATCCACAGAACATGCATGACTATGTTGGAGGAAGATTGCCTAAATTCAGTGAAGAGGAATCTACGATGCTGATAGGATCTTATGATTTTATTGGAATCAATTACTATACTACATATTACGCTCGGAATGTTGAGGATGTTAATTATAAAAACATTGGGTTTATGGAAGATGCTCGTGTTACTTGGCCAGGTAAATTTATAAATGGCCAAAAAGCTTGCTAATTAGATAAAAAGAAATCAACAAAAATTTAAGAAAATAAAAGTTTTAAATTTTTCCTGTAATTTTTTTTGCTATTTATAATGTTGGAAAATTAATTTGATTTATTTTGCTATTTTATAGGGGAGAGAAATGGAATACCAATTGGTCCACAGGTCAGTGTGATCCTGAATTATAGATAGTTGTAGCTAGTTTCAACAAATTGCATAATTTTTTTGTTCTTTTAAAAATTGCATAATTGATATATAAAATTTAAAAAATCCAATTTGCAGGCGGGTTCAAGTTGGCTTTATATTTATCCTGAAGGAATTCGTCATCTTTTGAATTACATTAAAGATGCGTATGGAAATCCAATAATATATATCACTGAAAATGGTAAGATAAAAGTTTATTAACAATTAATCATATTGATAATAATATTTCTATATGTATGTTTAAGGTTTTAGTTGTTAATAGATTTTGATTTTCCAATTTCTTGATATATATAGGAGTTGATGATGTGAAATCCTCATCATTGGAGGAAGCTCTTAATGATCCCATAAGAGAGAAATCTTATAAAGACATTTTTCACAATGTTCTTGAATCCATCAAGTGAGTTCAACCTTTCCAAAATTTATGTTCTTTAGGTCATTATGTCTTGTCAAATAAGTAGTTTTATAAAACTATAAGGTTTCAAATTTCTTTCTCTATATTTTAACAAATTATATATATATATATCAACTCCAATTGATAAGGAATTAAATTTTGCGGTGACCATGGTGTTGATGTTAAGGGGTTTTTTGCTTGGTCCTTTTTGGATGATTTTGAATGGGGATCGGGTTATGGTTCAAGGTTTGGGCTCTACTATATTGATTATGAAAATGGCTTGAAACGACATGCCAAAAATTTCGTGAAGTGGTTTAAACAATTCCTGAAGAAGGACAAAAATATGTAGGACTTCTTTCATTAACTATTAATTTGATTTCATCCTCATGAGAAACAAGCTCTTAACTTGAAGCCATATGTCTTTCTCATTTGTTTTCCATTCGGAAAATCAAAGATTCCCTCAAACTCTCAAATGAAAGATGGATCGGTTCGAGGTCGTAAGAAGCCAAGAACTGAATAAAGGTTATTGACATTGAATTTAAATAAAGGTATTACATTCCTCTCCTTCTTTTATTTTGGTTTCTATCTTTTTTTATTTTATTTTAAAATAATTCTCATGCATTACAAACTAACTAACTTATTAAAAATGCGGAAAAATCGTAAACCGTATAGTTATAAATAAAAGGATAGTTGTGTACTACTACAAGAAGTAGTTGCAACCACGTTGATTCCTATGGAAATGGCACCATAGGATGAAGTCAAAATTAGTAGCACCATGTCGGATTTCCATGGCGGACATATTCTATTTCTTGTTGGTGTCTTATTTGTTTTGGATATGATTTGTAGATCTTTGTGTTTGGTTTCATATATTTTTATCTAGAAAATTTATGTTGTAATTATAGTACTTGTCGATTTGTATTGTTTTATTGTGCTTCCAAATTTATATTTTTCAATTGTATTGTTTTTTATTTTTTATTCAATTTTTTATTTTTTATTTTGATAATTACTCGACTTAAATTATAAATAGTACCAACTTGATTTGTGGGTGTATCTTCAATCTTGACTTTCTAAATTTGAACCATAGAATTAGTTACATTTGGATTAATTATTTCTTTAAATGTATAAAATTTCATTTGTGAGTATATATTTTAATTCATCTATGACTTAAATTTAATTTTGATTTATGTATGAACCAATACCAAAATATCATAATTGTCTAAGAAACCAAGAATTTATCATGCAAATTGGTCAAATTTAGCATGTTAATTGAAGACACTCATTGATATAATGTCATCGATCAAACTATCCTAACATATTTGTATAAAAAAATAATATAAAGAGAAAAGCTGGTAAGAAAAGAGCCCTTAAAAGAAAAGAATAAAGCCCTATTAAAACTAATGATGCCCATGATAGCACTCTCTTATTGAGAAATAATTTATAGCTCATATTTTTTGGTATCAGTCCCGGTTAAAGGAACTTTAACTTTACACACTAATTTAACTAGTTATGTAAGTATAATCGATATTAAATAAGAATAATTGATAAATTAATTAAATAAAAAGAATATATCAACAATGTAATTGTCACATGAGAATGTGTAGATTGTCGAGAAAGATATGGTATGAAATGTAGAGGTGTTGCTTAATTTTTTTTAAAAGAAAAAAACTAAGAAGAACCTATTTTTAATCTTTAGAGTTTTGGCAAATGAAATTGGTTATATAATTAGAGAGAACCATGATCACCCTAGATTATCCTTGTAATAAGGTTATCGTTCAATTCTAACATATAAAAAAAATTATGCAAAGTTTAGTTTTTGTATTCACTTATCTATTTTGATTTATAAGCCAATTGATGAGTTTTTTTTTTTTTATCAAAATAGTAAAGACATAGACTTTGAGTATATATCAACCTTTTACGCCACTCTAATAAGTAATCCTTTGTAGATTTTTGTATTTTTCATACCTATTTTTTCTTTTATTTACTTTCCATTTTTATTCTAGTTTTTCCTTTGTTATTTAGTTCATGTTGTTTTATTCTAAAAAAAAATGGAAGGACAAATCCCCTCCATCTCTATGGCTATTTTCCAAATGTAATCTCCTTACAATCCTAGCCTTGAGCAACAACCTCGCCAAGTCCCTTTGCAATCCAAGACAAAACCTTACACTATAACTTGTCTTGAATTATTCCTTGGACAAACCCATCTCTATCTTGCCACCCCTTGCTGTAAGCTACTATGCAAGCCCTACCAAGCCTTCATTCCCGTAGCTCATAACCACGAACTACCTCTAGGTTAACTCACCCATGCAATCCCCGCTAAGCCACCCAAACCCCCAAACTATCGGGTTATACTATAACCCCTCCAACTATAAATCCACAAAACCTTCTACCACAAGCCACTCAAACCCCCAAGCTATCAAGTTACACTACAACCCCCTCTCACTCCTAATCCATAAAACCTTCTTCCATAAGCCACCAAGCCCCTTCAATCATGCTCGCATCATACAACAAAGTAGGATCAGCCTTATTGTCAACTTAACCCATACTAATCCTTGACTAGCACCACTGCAACCTCGCTAGCCACCATACTCCACCCTTACTCGGTCACCTTATAGCATTATTACCCAACCATCCTACATCATACCCGCCAATAGGTTTTCCAACATAACAAAGGGAAAAGGGGATGAGCCAACCAATTCGGATAAATAGAGGAAACAAAAAACAAAGAAGAAGGTCAATTTTTAGAAATTCAAAGGAAAAAAAAACAACATAAATCATAAATAGACAAAATCGAGTTACCAATTAAAAAAAAATGAAGGAGAAGAAAAGAGAGGAGCTGCACGCCAACTCATAGAGAAGAGGAAGGAAGGGAGGAAGAGATGCTGCCAACTCATGAAGAAGAGGAGGGAATTGAGGAGGAGAAGGAAAATGAAAGAAAAAAGAAGAAAACAGATGAGGGAAAGGGAATAGATGGGGGAAAGAAGAAGAAAAAAGACAAAAGAGGAGTTTGGAGGAGTCTGTTGGCATCAATTGAGGATTTTTAGGGGTGGTGGTGCTATTAGCAAAGAAGAAGAAGAGAGAAGAGAAAAAGAAAAATGAAGAAAAATAGGGTAGAATCCTATTTAAGGATTTTGCGTTTAACAATGGTTTTTGATCCATTTCTCCTTGAAGGATAAACTATTTAAGAACCCATTTGGTATCCGACAAGGAGAAAAAGGGAGACCCATTATAGGAAGACAACGATAATCTCAAAGGGGTGAATTTCCAAGCTCCATTAAGCTTTTTAATCGGTATCCATTTCTTCAAGTGTAATTCTAGTCGCATCCAAGGCTTCCTCCGAGACACTACCAAAATAAAAGGAATTTAGCGACAATTTAAAATCATCCAAAAAAGCCTTCTCACTAAATCTTTGGTGATAGTTTATTGTATACCGTCGCTAATTTAGCGATGGATTAACCGTTGCTAGAACATCTATTATCCATCGCTTAACAATGAACTAAGGTCATGGATTTAGCGACGGCTTGTGAAACCATCACTAAATCCATCACTAAATATGGATAATTTAGTGACCATTTTTTAAAACTCTCACTAAATTCGTCTCTAATTAGTGACACGTTTAGAGAGTTTCTTAAAAAATTATTGCTAAATATGAGAAAATGTTGCATTTTTTTTTTTAGCAATTATTGAAAAACCATTGTTAATTTAATTTAATTTTATATATATTTTTTATTTATTTCATACTAATAAGAAAAATAAAATTCATACCAATTTAACAACTACAATAATGTTATGAAATAGATTTATAAATATTACAAAAATTTTATAATATATAAAATTAAATTAAATTAAATATATATTCAAACAATAAATTATTTTAAATTTTATTAATCTTTTAGAAAAAGAAAACTTAAAGTGATGAAAAATTATATTATGATGAAAGGGATACATATAATGACATATCATCATTTTCATCAAACACTTGATGGTCGGTTGGAGGATTGGTGGATGAACTACCTCTTTCCATATTCAGCAACATCTACCGCATCATCCTATGATGCTCTAGAGTATACTACTCCAATCGATTTTTAGTAGCGAAGAGCGATGTAACAACACTCTCTAATTTCTCGATCATTTCGGTTTGTCTACAAGAATAAGCCTCCATTTTCTTTCGTTGCATCTCAATATCAACATGAAACCACGATATGGCCTAACTAGAGGATATATTGACATTAGAGCAATAGTGAGAGGCTTATGATCCGAGTTCGTACATCCACTTTCTCTTATTATGTCTTCCTCTAATAGCCTTTTTAAAAAACTCGTTCATGTTGATGTTGAGCAATGAAATACCCTCTGTCTCTCGGCTAGTAACCTCCTCTTTAAATTTTTTTTGACGAGTGTCTTACATAATTGCACAAATTTTATTATTAAATAGTTATTTTAATAAGTTATATGAAAGTAACATAGATATAAAATAACCTCATAAATTACTTTTATAATTCTTGCTCACTCGATTGATGAATACGTACTTACTATCAACCTTCCTTTCGTGAGTCCTTAATAAAACCTTGTGAGTATCATGTTCACAACCCAACTCATTACGTTGAAACAAATATACTTAAATATTTATTGATGTTGCAATAATTATAAATAACAAATAAAATATATATATATATATATATATATATATATATATATATATATATATATATATAAGATAATTTTATACTAAATTTAATTAACAACTAATTAACTTATTTTTAAAAATTAAAAGTTTAACTAACTACTAACTTAATTGAATTAACATGTAATTGTAGTTTTTAAAATAAATTGGATTAATTTAATTAACAACTAATTTATTTATTTTAACAAATTTAAAACTTAACTAACTACTAAATTAATTAAAATAACATGTAATAATAGATTTTAAACTAAATTTAATTTATTTATTTAACAAATAATTTACTTATTTTAACAAATTCAAAACTTAATTAACTCGCTAAATTAATTAAAATG